GTGGCAGTAAAGCGCAAAGATGACGCTTCTGACGATAATATCTCGATGTTAAACAGTAGAGATAGAGACGATTTTACCGAGTTAACGAGACTGCGGTCTTTTCGACGCCTGAGGCTACTTATTTCGCATATCAGACACAGGCCCCAGGGCGTGTAACATTTCTATATGGAGGGCGCGCGCAAGCCGGCCAACACCTCAAGGCCGCATATAAAAACGTGAAATATCACGGGTGTTTCCTTATCGCCTGCTCGGTCATATGTAAAAGCGAATAAAATCTCGGTAAGTTGCGCCAGGGGATCGCGCGGTAGTCGCTCCGGGCCAGTCGGTCGAATCTGAGATCCGATGGTACGTTTTTAACATACAAAAGTCGATGAACGGGGATAAATCGCCGTGCGTACGAATCCATAGTTGGACCATATTTCTTTCTTGTTATCGGCAAATATCCATGAATGCAAATGTATAGAACGCTATTGCTCATCACACGCATACGGGGTTAATTATTTCCGATTTAAAAAATTTGATTTTGATATATAAAATTTATTATACTAGCAACAGAGTATGTGAGAAACATGAGGAGAACGAAGACGAGTCGACAAGAAGGAATACTAAGAAATGGAAAGGAGGGAAAATTTGAGCGCGCGGGAAAGAAGGGGGGGTGGGAGGGGGCGTAACGTGCAAAACGGACGCCGAACAATAAGCAATAATAGGTAATGCAATTCAAACGTGGAGGCTGGCAATACTCGGAAGCCGACGGGGTGGTTACAATGCCGGGAAATGCAAGACAGGCATTTCCTGCGAAGCGCGGCGCGGCGCGGCAGGCGGACAGGGGTTTGGAGATGGGGGCGAAGAACGGAGACAATCATACAATACGTGCGGGGGCGTTCAGGTAGTCTATTGCGTATTTGCCTTTACGCAATTCTCCACTCGCTTCGCTCGCGATATTACGCAATCGCGATTTATCCAACGCGACGCGACGCGGCAGTCATCGTCCGGACGCGTCGCTGTATTTAATCCCGGGAAAGCTCCCGGAGTATCTGCATATATACAACACACTGCGAATAACCGCGAATATCTATATCTCATACCTTTCCACAAATTTATATACCTATTACTAGGCAAAATAAATCGTTTAAAAGTTGAGTCTAAATAAAATTAATTAATTATACAAATTATATATATATAATATCTACGAAAAAAAAACACACAAAGGTACAAACAAAATAATTTATATTATATATAATAATATAAATATTTTAATCATATATATTTCCATCGCACACATAAGTCATTTTGTCGTCATAATTAATAGTTCAAATTATCATTGATATAAGAGTTTTGTACTACATTTCTGTCTAGCAGAATGTTAATTTAATCATGTTAGAGCAGCTAGATATCCATGCCTATGGACTGCACAATGTTTCTTATAAAATCGTCTCTGTATCTAGGCTTGCGCGTAGATGTCCTCGGCAGAATGTAGTAGGAGAGGATCTCGGGAAGAGGGACATGAGGACGTAGTAGATGAAATCGTTTGTTCTAATATCGCGGGTCCAACCCCCGAAGCTCGAAGATGGAAGTTCGTCCGTTGGAAATTGTCCGGGTGACGTTGCAAATGGGTCCAGGCGATTCTGCCCGAGTCTTGTTGTATCCTTGCCGAGATCACGCACACATATACATGTGTGCTTTCAACGTATATGTCTGCGCTGGCAACCAGCAGCAGCTTCTCGCCTCGAAATCCCGTGGGGCTAATTCTTAAGATACTGTTCGACGTTGACAAAAGTGGCCATATCGGAGTCAAAGTTTTCGCAAGAGTACCGTATTTGTCCAGGCGCAACGACACGTATTCTTTTTCACTACCAGTATTGTGAACATGTATTTCACAAACGTTTGACCAATGCATTTTTTATTCTCTCTAATCTTTATATTTATAATTATATTTTCTCTCAAAATTGTTCGGTGATTATCATTAACAACAAGAATAATGAAAAAATTCAAGATTAATGAAAAGGATAATCTTGTATAAAATGCGACACATAATTTGCGATTATATATACTCTATTCGATATCCATATAAATAAAAGTTCCTCCATTTTGTATCGAAACTTTCTATCAAATTCCATTCTTGCCGAGTCTCTTCTCGCTTCGCGTAGCAAGATTTTCACGGAGAAACTCGAGGCGAAACGTCATCGGTCTAACTCAGAAGGCAAATGACACGAGAAATATAATCCATGCCACCCCGGGCTTTGAACCCAGAGAACTTCTTACCCTTCCCACTCGACATCGTTATAACTCCTTACAGGCTTGGCCTCTCCTTCCCTCGCCCGCTTTTCCCCCTTCGTCTACGTCAATCCCAGAGAAAGCTGGGCATTGTCGTGTCGAAATTGTGCGTAACTACGACAATAGTTCGGCAGGATTGGGCGAAATTAATGAAAATTCGCGCGGGATCTACGGGAAGAAGGGGTGAAGAAAGGGATGAGATCTCCCCAGAAACAGATATTCCGTCTATAGGAAGGGGAAGAGAAGAAGAGATCGGCTAATCGTGACAAATACTGATCCGGGATTGCCGAATTATAAACTAATGTCTCGAAGAAACTTCACCCGGAGTAACTTTCTTCCCTTCTACCCGATTACGACTCCCGAGTGTTCGCTCAACCTTTAGACAGCATGTATACCTTAAGTCGGCTGTTTTGAGTTTTATTTCGAACTTTTATACGTTGCTTAAATAACACAGATTCTTTCTATCATTTTTCTGCAATTTAGTTATTCCGGAAATTAAATATTTGACATTTTTATAACAAATATTATTTTATTCATTGTTTTATTATGTAATTTTATTTCTTTTTATATATGGAATTCTATTTTTGCTAAAAGAGATAATTAGATAATAAAATTTATTAAAAGAGAGATATTCTTTTTATTAACAAAAAAATCGATAACGTGTAATATTATATAATGTATAAAGTTTTAGGCGTATCGTGAACAAGAATCGGCGTAGATATCACACCGGTGCAATTTCAACCGGTGGACCGAAGAGATGATTTCACCATCTTTATATCTTGCGACCGGGCGTGTAAAGGATAACGGAAAGAGGGTGGTTGATGGTAAAGTTAGAGGGCGAACGTGAGTAGAGGTGGATGGGCGGCCGGAATGTTCCGGCCAGGAGAGAAAGGAAATTGGATGATATTTCCCGCAACGATCAAATCTTATTGCCAATTGAAAGAGGAAAGTTCGCGGTACATTTGCCCCGAGAAATCACCGGCGACGAAGAGGTGAGCTAGCGAAAATAGCCACTACGATCTGCCATTCCGCGAACCACTCGTGGCGGCTTTCATCGCGATAACAAGCTCATCTACAAGAAAATAATACCCGAGATTAATTATGGGCAGATTGATAATCTCGCAAACCATTAATGAAATACATTCATTTTTGCCAATGTAATTTAGAATTGAGTATCATATGTACTCGCAATATCTTTTATCTAAAAAGTTTTACTCAAAAGAGATTTCTTTTATTTCGGGAATAGAGCAAAGATTTTCTTCAGAACAATTAGCAAAAGTAATTGGCAATGCTTTTAATATAAATTAGCAGCAGATTGCAAATCTCTGGACAGTTTTATTTATTCGTATCCCCTTATCACACCGCACATTTCGGCAATATCATCAGAAGCCGAAAGATTGCACAAAGTGGAGGTCCGCGGTCCAATTTCGATATCCCTCCTCATAATTTCATCTATCAGTATCCGCGAAAGGACAGAGCGGCCACTTTCGCGGGAAGATCACGTTTGGATTTGGGGTGGGTTGTAATGAGCGGACGAAAGCGTCAGCGGCATCTAATGTCAGAAATTATAGCATATTGGCAATAAAGTCCGGAGCTGGGGTCCACCCTTGTACGAGCGAGCTCAACACGGTCACCGCTTCTATTTGGGGAGGTGGTTCGCTTATTGTAACGAATGTCGGAATCACGTTTTGCCATTACACACGATCTTGTCTCGAGGGAGAGAACGTCTGATATACCGATAACATTCCCAATCGATAATCGCGCCATTGCCTCTTACGAGCATCGTTAATATCTTCCTGAGATATTGATACATCACGTAATACGTTTATGAAATAATAAAAATAATAATAAAAATTACGTGATATATATACTATCACAAATTTCAAAATATCGTTTTAAACTTTAACATATATGCTGTTCGATTCTGTCCGCAATAAATATATACCACTCTTTAGTTGACCATGTCGAGATTGCATAAAAGTTTATTAATTTATAAGCTAAATATGTATACATAAACGAAAAATAATACGATACAATGAATTAAAACGTATAACATTTAAAACGTGCGCGATTTTTTTTCTCTTTAGATATAACAAAGTATGACACGTATTAAAGTTGTATGAACAAAACATTCAACGGAACGACATAAAACATGAATAGATGACAAGTTATTTAAAAAAATTCGCACAATACATTATTCTTAATATTAATAATTACATACAATAGTTATATATTGTTAAATAAACACATTGGGATATTACTGACATATTTTTCTACTTTCGATATCTGCATATTTATCTATACTGATGTGAAGTACGGTTCTACTATAGATTCTCCAACTTTCATCCAATCTAACATCTTTTTCTTGTCTTTAATACTTGGCCATCTCATATTGAAATTAACTTTCATTTCAGAATTATCAGCTTTGTGTCCACAAATAAACGTACATCTGATTGTACAATGCTACCTATCTAAACCTTTTGAATAAAATGTGACATATTACATATGTGTGAGATATTATAGATTTTTGTAATTATACTTTTTATGAGTTATTAGACAATTATTATATATAATAATTAACAAATATTTTAACTCGGTCAAAAAACTTCAAAGTTTTAGTTAACAATTATATATCATTATGCATTAATAATGTGCTTCTTATAGATAAATATTATTGTATATTGCATGCAAACAGACTTGATAAGATTTGATATATAATACTGAATTTAATTAGGAGTCGATTTTTTTAGTATGCTGAAATCCCATTGAAAAATCGTAGAATCTTCATTTGAAATTGATGATACATCTAATACATCTGAATTAACATGGTTAGATACTAAGGAGATACTATCCGTTAAACTGCAATCGGCTTCATCGACTTTAAAATATTCTATCGACTGTTCTGGATCCTCGGTTGGTTTAAATTCATATGAAGAATCGATGATTTCGGATAGCGCACTATTTTCAGTAAAAGACTTTTCCAAATCATTTAAATTATTTACAACAGTTTTAAATTGTTCGTCTTTTTCTGTGATTTTATTTTGAAGATGTTTCAGTAAATTCTTGTATTTCTGTGTTATGGCATGTATGCTATTCTTAAATCGAGATATTTCTAATTCGTTATGTTCTAGTTGCGTCTTTAAACGAATTATTTCATCTTGACTGTCATCGTACATCTTACAAATTTTGTTCAGAAACCCTGTATTATTTTTATAATCTGAGAAACGAGATTCGAAATTGATTTGCAGTTTCGTGACATTTTCCACATTTTTACGTAAGTCTTTACAATATTGCAAGTCTTTCTTAGCTGAATCAATATTTTTACTAGCTTCAATAACTTGTTTGCTCAGATTTCTCGCTTTCTCGTTGTTTGATTTGTTTACATCTGTTATGTTGCATATTTCATTTGTCAATGAGATAATTTTGCTCTCTCTTTCCGTTATCTTCGTTGTTAATTCTTTCAGTTTATCCTCGAGAATCAGCTGAGTCTCTAAACATTCGTACAACTGCCTACCAAGTTCATTCTTATCTCTTTGACATTTCTTCATAATAATCTCGAAATCATTTATCTTCTCAAACAATTCGTAGCTTTTTGCGAACTTGTGTTGCATTTGAACAATCTTTCCATCGAGATCATTTATCTGCAGAGTTTTTTGTAACACTTCGTCTTCTAAGCTTTCGATTCTTGGTAAATGTTCATTCGCACATTTATCAGACGCTTTATCCAATTGATTATGCATCGAAGATAGTTTATTCTCAAGGGATTTGGATCTTTCTATATACCTATCTAGGGATTTAGATGTTCGGTCTTCGTTTTCTTTCTTAACTATCAGTTTGCGAGTCAGTTCATTGATTTCGCATTTATATTTTTGCATCTTATTCTTTATTACTTTGGCATCGCGTTTGATTGCGATTTCTCTCTTATTTTTGATCGATCGTTCTTGCGCTTCTTCTTCATACAGTAACTGATATTCATGCTGAATAATCTTGCGCTCATTTACACAAGCTGCCTCATTTAAAGTGTAAATCACATCTTTGATGATCTTCAAATCTTCAGATAATTCGGTAACATGTAATGTCTCTCCATGATTCTGTTTCTTCAAATCTGCGCTGCGCTCTGTCGCAATAGTATTCTCCTCGATGAGACAAGTTTGTGTGTCTTCATTCTCGCGAGTATGTGTACTGTCATTTATGCTGGTAGATCTTCTACTTTCGTTTTGTAATCCGCTACTTACACCTGAATCATCTTTGTTGCTTTTATCGCTCGATCTTGAAGCAATCTCACTGCAATCCATACTACTGTTATTTTCAAAGAAACTTTCGCGATCGATGTCAAAAATGTTCGAGAGTTTCTTTTCCGCTGATTCTGCATGCGTCGGGGTTGATTTTGGGACGATAATCCAATCGACAAAATTGCATTTATCTGCAGTGGGTGAACTCATATTTAAAGAATTTTTCTTTGTAGAAGAAATAAGTACATTATCATGTTCAAAAGAACTATCGATTGCATAATCATGAGATGAGATATTTGTTGATCGATTATATTCGCATTTCTGATTCTTCATATTATCATCTTTTATATCATTCAAACATTGTTGAACTTCAGTAAGCTGTCCTTCTTGCATTTGTATACGATCTTTCAGCGTGACGATATAAACTTCTTTGCGCGAAAGTTCCTCCTCCAATTTTTTCATCTTGATCAAAGTATCATTTAAGAGATTCTCCGATTTTGATAATTCCTGATTCACTATTATACCTTTTGAAGCGGCTTCAACATCTTCGTCCTTCGTCGCGCAGATGTATTCATTAATCTTTTCAAGCTTCATCTCGGTCGTTTTTATCATTCCATACATTAAGCATTCCAAATTGTTTATGAGATGATCGGGATCGCTTTCAGTATTGCTATCCCACTTCTGAATCCTAGATCGCGTGAGCTGCCGAAACTTTTTCAATTCTTTTGTTATCAATGCCAATTCGAAGCTGCACTTGTTCTTTTTGCAGAGAATCGTTTTATTCTCATCTTTCAGTTTCTTCATCGTTTCTTTCAAAACCATCATCTTGGAAGTAACTTGCGCATTCTCAGTCTCGAGCTCTTCATAAAGCGCGTGACTGTCCTCAATGTAATCTCCGTCATCTCCCCGCTTCCTCTTTTTATGCCGCATCAAATTATCGATTCGTTCCTTGTAAAAGTTCTCGACCAATTCGATTGACGATTTCAATAGATCGCGTCTTTCAGTTTCAATGTCCTTGGTATGTTTTTTGTAAGTTGCTTCCATTTCTTCGATCATTCGTGAATAATGATCAGCTAACTCTTTCCGAGTTGCGTATTCGCGATTCACAATGTCACTTCTTGTAGTTTCCAATTCTTTCATCAGCTTTTCATTCTGTTCTTGTATATTTTCATACGCTTCCCAGTCGATGTACTCAGTTGATGTAGCCTTCTCTGCAGTCTCGGACGAAGTTCGATGAATAAATGGTGGCGAAATGACATTATTTTCACATTCTTCTGAGCTAGTTACTTCAAATTCATCAGATTTTTTATATTGCTTGTAAATATCAATCAGCTTTCTAGTTGCGTCACAGAATTTAAAAATATTTTCCAATTGAAAACATTTTTCATCGTTAAACTTCGGAGTTAAAGAGAGATTTACTATAAGACTCAGATTTTCTTGACCGGAAAAAACAGATTGTAATTCGGCCGTTAACTTTGATTTGTGAAAGGGAGCCGCCTGATTTTCACTCATTGCCATAAGGCATTTATTAAGTACCGACAAGTTTATATCATTAATTCGAATTTCCGGCGGGTATAATAAGGTCGCTACATATAGTATGGGGCTAGCCAAGTCACAGAAAGTAAGAGTACTAAATGTCGCTATGCTTGATGCATGATTTTCATATTTTACTAAGTTGATCTTGAAAATAGTATGCGACAGAGAGCGTTCCGGATTCGATGCCGTTGCAGAGGTTTTCATTCTTGATTGACCGATCAAGAAAATCTGACAAGCTTGCAACGCAGTCCTGACCTGCACTTGCGATTTATAAAGATAACTTTGTTTTTCTTTCTCGATTATTGCCGGGATGCTCATTCCCTCCAACAGATCATAAACGTCATCTTCATAAATCTCTATGAAGGACAACCACACCTCGTATGAATATCCATTGTCGCATTTTTTGTATTCATCGGGATTCTCTGGCTCTTCAGAAGAGCAGATCAGAAATCTCATGGCTTCTTCTTTGGATGTCTGCTCCATAATTTTATTCGAATTTGACATATGCCACGTCTTACACGTCTTACACGTACACGTCTTAATGCTCTGTTCTTCTAGTTTTAGATAGCCAAATATTTCATCCAGATAAAAATTGTCCTGACATTCCTGTTTAATCCACGGCGGTAAATGGCAACAATATTTTATTTTCGAAAACACAAGCTGAATGCTGCGCGGTATTATACCAGGCGACGTGGATGTACCGAATAGCGTATAAGTCTTCCCGGCTTTCTTTGCGCCGTAAGTCATAATGGTCGAACTTTTACCGTCAAGGAACTCTGTAACCCGATGTTTTATGGATCGCTCGAACATTTCCGCCTGCAAAGTTTCTGATCCGAAGATTTTCGTAAAAACGTGCGTCTCGTTCCATTTTCTGATCGAATTTTTATTATTAGTTTTCAACGACGGCGGAGTTTTCATTCGAAGAATCGACGGATCGAGTATCTGGTAAATGTTTTCCTCTTCTTTGATTACCACTGGTGCCGGTTTTATTCTCAGGTACATCTCAACCGAAGAATTTTTTCCAATTGGTGTCATATTGAGTTTCAAATATACGGTAAAATAATCGATTGATATTCCAATTCAATTAAAATTTGGTTATGATCATTAAGAAAATTATTTCTTGTCCATGCAGAGAGAGAGAGAGAGAGAAAGGGAGAGAGAGAGTCAGTATTTTTCTGAAATGTTATTAAATGTATTATAAATATATGTTTACATAATTAATATGTAAATAGAGAGAGACTTGCTTACTATTGCAAACAAGGTCATCGAAAAATGCATTCAAAAATTTTTACACATCTCTCGGGGGATTTTTACATATACATACGTGACATCTTCAATTTTACAATTTTCGCAAATGTTAATGCTATGATTTTCGATATCGGTTCATTCCTGAAATGTTCACAATTCAGCGATTTAACCTAAACCTATACTCACAAGCACGGAGAGATATCGACGACAACCCGAAATGACAATTGAAGTCTGACGTGAAAATGCCCTCATCTAAATGAAACTAGAAATAAAAATATCGATTTAACAGACATTATCATTTCAACTTTTTAATCGGCATGGAAACTGCTTATGACGTACAAAATGTACATGTATATTGGTTTTAGAATAGGATCTAATAATTGGAAAGATGTGATTAAAATAGAACAGATATTTAACGAAAGCTATTTATATGTAATATCATATATATAATATCAAGTGTAAGTATAATTATATCTTATAAAAGATCACCCCAAAATTTTCGCCAGCTGTACCATTTGAAGGCATGTCTAACTTTGTCATTAAATACGTATATCGTAAGTCGTAATTCACAAGGAGATACATTTTCTCTTTCGCATCCATTCATCTGTCGCCAAGGCATGCCGGCGCGTATTCTAATGCACGAGAGACACGAGACGCATGAAGACGAACTCGTTGAAAATCGGCGATGGCATTTGGCGATACATACGGCGAAATACGGCGAACGCGGGAGAGATCGACGCGACGTCGAGGAGGAGGAGGAGGAGGAATCCTCCCGCGACCGCCTCGAAATATCTTCAAAGACGAGCAGCAGGCGGTAATTTATACGCGTGTCGTCCGGCTCATTAAATGCCGCCAATCAAAGCCGGAAGCTAATAGCGGTGCCGCGGTGCGCGTTGCGGCCGGCCTTTCTTCCCCCGCACCCCTCGAGATGGGTCGCGCGATGCGCGAAATCCGCCGTAATCTCGGCATCGGAATCGGTATCGCGCGACGCACACAAGTCGGCCACTGTGCGTCCCCTGTGCACCGGCCTAACCGCCGAATGCGGCCCGAGCCCCGTTTGGATCGGCGGTGCCTTTCAAGCCACAATCGACCCCTTGTATCGACAGAGTGTGCGGCGGCCGCCGCCACCTCCGCCTCTCCCATCCCGGCGGTCTTTCCGCTGCCGGAGAGCGGTCCTTCTGCTCCGAGATTTCGCTTTTCGCCTTAGCCGCTCCCTCGCGGATATATATCGCCTCATCGCACGCGCGCGTCTTCTCGTACTCGATTAAAGCTCGCCGCCATCCGCGTCCTCGGTGGTCTTTCATTGCTTCCATAATGTATAACCGTATCGATATTGCTCGATAATTATTAAAAGCGATGCGATAAACGTGACACGGATAAATTGCTGTGCATAGATATTATTATTCGAGATATCTGTTTTATTATATGCAGAATTATAATCAATACGATTTCTAATCGTGTTTTAAATCTTGCATACGTGAAACTTTTTTTACTCTTTCCATTTTATTTCTTTGTTTCGCGAGCTGCTATGTATAATACAGAATTTCCGCAGCAAACTTATAGGAAAGTCCGAATCGCATGGCACCGCATATCGAGACGAAGCTTCGGCCAGGTCGGAAACCATAACGGAGACTCGAGGGATCTTAAGTATTTACGTCATAATAGACACATCACTTTTGATCTACGGCGTAACTCGGCGATACGGTCCAACATGCCGGGGTCGTAAAAACCTCGAAGAAGAAGAAGAAGAAGGAGAAGAAAGAAAAGAAGAAGCAGATGAGAGAGCGGGAAGAAACAAGAAGAAAGGGGAGGTCCTCTCCTTTACGGCGAGAAGGAGAACACGTGAGCGCCAATATATAGGCGCGCTCGTATATAAAATGTTGCTGGTGTATGAAAAATAACAGCCGTTGCCTCGCCTTCCCCCCCCTATATCGGGCGTTAATGCCTCCACGGTGAATTGATGTTCCGCCTTTATGGGTTATTTATTTAATACTGACAAATTTCACCCGGTGCCCCTGCCACCGGTGGTGGCCTCGCCGACCGCTTCTTTTATGGCGTCTTTGATGGCGTTGGAGAACCAAGACTCTCGCGGGTACCAACAATTCGACGGAGGCTCTCGGTTCCAACACGAGCCTTGTGAAACTATCGTGAATCGATCCAGGCATAGTCCTTTTCTTTCCTTTTCATGATGCTTCCTAACGTCTAACACATTGTGAGAAAAGATGCAAGAATACGATATTTTCAAGTATGAATTTTTAACATTTTTTTTTTAAATACAGGCATGTAATTTTAAGACTGCGCATAAACTTTTACCTACTATCTTCTTAATTCAGACTTAATTCTGCAAAAAAAAAAAAAAGGAAAACAACGAAAAATATTTTAGAAATTTCTGCTTTACATAAGAGACAATGTAACCGTGAAACGAGCTCTACCCCGTGAAATATTACCGCTTTAATACACAATCGGTAATTAAACGTTGCCGCATAGTAACCGGAGTTGTTCACATGTTTCCTCCTATTACTAACCATATTATTACGATTTAATTACCCTGAATGATTAATTAATAACGTTACCATTACGTTCGTAACGTTTGTTGCTCGAAGCGGCAAAATGCGATTGATGATCCAGATACCATAATATATCTCTCTATATCGATAAGTTTTATTATACACATCGCGCGCATATGCACGCATGCTCGATTGAGTGCGTGCGTGTGCGTGTCTCGTGGCAGCTGCCGAAGTCGCGCGGCGGCGCGTAAGAAAGAATGATGATGATGACGGCGACGACGACGGTCGCATGCAAGTCGAACGAGAGACGAGCGAGGAGAGGAGGGAGGCTATCGCGCGTGTTTCAAATCAACTCAAATAATAATGATGAGTTATAAATGCCACTAGACGGCTAACCCGCCCAGACTGATCCCGGGTTAAGATATATGTCGGTGCATCCGCGTTTCTTGATACAAGTTATGTATTCGCGATAATGTAATAATGCCTCGCGTATAATCCGGCCGCGCTTTGTATCAAGGTCACGCTAATCACGGTGAAAATACGGTTATCGATAATGGATTATCGATGCGAAATAAGTTTGCGATAGCGCAAATTAAGAGACGAATGTATATATGTATGTACGTACATAATATGCAAATATTTTTTTGTTTTTTTCCATACGCATGATTTTCATTAGGCTCGACGAATCGTGCATGCGACGTAATTATCGTGAGGGTTAATGGACAGTCGTGGAAAAATAATAAATTCAGGATACGCGGTATAAATCGCGCATAAATTCGCGATAATGTTGATCAAGGGAAAAAAATTCAAAACAACCACGGTATTGTTACTAAAGCGAATTGCTGGTTGTAATCGGCCTAGTAATTAGATGCAGCGGCGAGTGAGTGAATTATGGCTCGGTAATTGTAGGGCAGAGACGCATTCGTTACCGCAAACGTTAACGATTGTCTATGTATCTTCGCGATGATCGTGATCAAAGAAGCACACACGGGTAAAATTCTCATAAATATCGCCTGGCACAAAAGTACTTACATTACCATTGGATCGGGCGCGCGTGCATTCTCAAGTGCGAATCTCTCTCTCTCTCTCTCTCTCTCTCTCTCTCTCTCTCTCCTGGCAAACTAATTACATCATAAATGTAAAAGTGCGTTGCACGAGCTACCTGCGCCAAAAGATGCCGCGCGAGTGAATAATATTCGCATTACTATCGCCTTTTGCGTTAATAACGGCCGACTTGCGGACCAATTAAGACACATCGCCGAGCAAACGATCGAAGGGACCTTTAGTGACAGTTGGCGTCATTAGGGCAATGATGTTCAGCCATGTGCGAGGGTCCCATATTCGTTTTTAAACAATTTCATAACATGAAAAGCGATGGCTATCGCCGCATATCATCTCTGTGAGATCATCGGCGACCATCTTTACAAGCGCACGTCATTTCCGCTCGAACCTACGGCTGGATTATTGCGGTCATCAAACATCTGTCTGTGTGAACTAATGTGATCACGCCTCTATCGATTTCGATCGAAGATTTAACATTTGCATAAACAGTTGTATAAACATTTACGAACCTTTGTTTCAAATGATATACATAAATTTACTACCATTATCAAGAGATATAATATATAATATAGTATGTCGTACTCTCTCTTTAATCGTATTTAAAAATTACTTACAATAGAAAAATATTAAAATCATTCTATTGTCATCTCTATATATGTATATCACAATCATATTATTTTTTAATAAATCCTGTCGAGCTATATATGATACTTTATCTCCTAGGAGCCGAAAAATCCATCACAGGCTTCATAAGAGAAGATGGTTGAATTCACGTCTCCAGACATCAGTTTCTCAAGCGGCTTCGACCGTTTCGCCTCGAAGATATTAGATTTATCCATTTGTTTGCCGAAAGTCTCATAAATATAAGCTCCCTTTGACGGCATCCCACGGGTCTTATCCGCCGTCATGATCTCGTGGGTGGGCGGTTAGATGAGCGCGCGGGGTGCGACGGTGTAGGACAGAGGGGGTAAGATCGATTCGATATAGTTCGCCTTCGTACCGGCATCAGTATTCCCAATTAACGAGATCCTTTCATCGGCCACGGAGATAGAATGGGGAGAGGTTACATTTATAAATATGATGATCGTAAAAGGAGGCATTACCATCGATGAGACGAGGCAGATTTTCTTCCTAGAGAAGCGAAAGAAAGAGAGAGAGGAGCGCAGTTATTGCACGGAGAAAGGGACGAAATTGATGGCAACGCAACGGAACGGAGAT